TAAATATAAACACCCATGACTGGAGTACAAACTCATCGTTCTTGCTCATCACACAAATGAATGCTCCCAGAGGGACTCGAACCCGCGACCGCTGGCACACCAAGTAGCCAACTGCAAAGTGAGCCAAACGTGTCGTCAAATAAATCAATAAATATGTTGGGACATTAACACACAGCACCATCTACTTCCATGGTAAGTTACGAGGCTTTTGTTATAGATACCAGATAGTTAGTACACTACACGTATAAATGTTTGAAAGAGACTAATATCTCACGGGAATCGTTTGTTATTCACGGGGATAACAATTCTCCGCCCTGGTTAATAAAAAAAAAGCCTGTATTTCCTTATCCTTAATTTCCCGGTCCGCCCTCGTTATCCAATAATAATATCTAATCTTTATGCAAAAATCACGTCTATCTGTTGCTAACGAAAAATTCGATTACTACTATAAGTGCGTACGTGCGTGCGTGTGTATTTTTGTAACTTTTTTAAATTGAAACGGTTGGACCGTTTTGGATGAAATTTACTATCCACTATCGCTTGAAGTATCACAAGGTTACGGTTATGACGCAACTGATTGAATCGAGGGCAAGTCCTTTGTATATTATAACATATAATAACATAATATACAGTACGGATAATAGTATAATAGAGATGTAGGCTCAGTACTAAAGACATCGCTCCCTTGTTGCCAACGGCTTGTCAGTGGACATGTTGGGGCTGCTCCGTCATCCGTGCCTCATACACAGATTGTACTCGTAAGGTCAAACTTGCACTTTGCATGTGAAATGTAACTACACTGAACTATACTAGCTTCAGTCCGTACGTTACTTAATAAGTATAACAAATGTTTAAGAGTATAAGAAAAAAAATAGTAAAGATCAGAAAATTTAATTTTATTATAAACAATATTCTTACTTTTAATTGCATAATTAAATTTAAAATTAAATTTATAATACATATAATATATTTATATCCCATACAACGAGCTCGTTTGATATACATATATACGGAAAACCAATATCTAATCGAACCAAACATATTTGATTTTTGAAGCTTTGGACATTAGTTACCTATATTTGAATCAAATATTGCAACCTTTTGTTTAAATTTCAGCTGCATTTCACAATTAGTGAGTGCCGTAGTGCAGCACTTCAGTGTGTCGCCAGAGCTAACACATGTCGACTGTAAATACCGACGCCTTTATTTACGTTCTAATCAATGGTGGGATGTAATAAATGAATATTTCATAGGAAAATTCAATTGGGCTTAGACTTTATATATATATATTAAGGTATATATGCTATTTGCTTATTTCTCAGTTCATAAAATAAAGTGTCAAAAATATTTTTTGATCGAGTGAATTGAGGAATGTACATAAGATGGATCAAGTTTTCTCTATTGCATAATATAAACTACTCAAAACAAAATAGGGCTTATCTCGATACAAGCTTAAATATTGTTTATAACATTAAACGAAACTATCTTTTCAGATTTTGTCGAGGTTTTTTTTGCCTCAGGTCACCACGCTCGCTGCTGAACTCTGGAAATATCAAAAAAAGTCAAATATTCGAATATACTTAAGAAAGTATAATATACTTAATAATATAATTCTACAAAAGACTAGATCCACTCTCGCTCCCCTTGGATACGTCTATAGATGTCCTTCACATTTATATTAATATTACGGAAGCTTTCAGAAGGGACGAATTTTTTACGTAATTCAATAATATGATTACACCAGCAGCCTTTTTTTCACGAAACGTTCATAAATTTTAGCCTAAAACCTTCTTAGGTAATTTTCAGATAAAACCTCTTTCTATTGATTAAAACCGTATAAAAAGCGTGTACGGATAGTTTCTAAGAATAGCCAGAACAAACACAAGCTCAAAGGCCCCCTGCCTTTCATTTGTCTTTCATTAATAATACTTATGGCGTAACTTATTCGATATATAATATGTTGGAATATTTTTGTGTCGAGTAATTCTAATTCAACATTTGGGTCAAAATTACATACATATAAATAATAAGATTTTTACTGAAGAACTATTTTATGTTATTCTCATCGGTCCGGTATGGTCTAGTGGCTACAATACCTGGCTCTCACCCAGGAGGCCTTAGTTCGATTCCTGGTACCGGAAAATTCAATTATAATTATTTTATTAAGTGATTTTACAAGTTACACTTTAATTTTGACCAATATAAAAAAATATATTTTTTGCCTTTTTCACTATTCGTAATAAATTTCAATGGCTTATACGTTCATTAATCTAAAATCATTTACTTTTAATACAGAAAACTCAAACTTTTGGCTCGAGAATGTAGAAGTGAAGCTTTTATTAAGCTCTGACAAATCAGTTGAAACACTTAAAAATTTTCTCGGAAATAGAACTTAATTCAATTTAGCTATTTTTATAAAGTCACATGTGTATGTTACTTCATTTTATCACTTAATGAAAAGCTAACAAATAGGAAAACAAATAAAATGTAACCATCTGTTGCCAACTCGTTGTAGCGCTGCGGCTTGTGGCGTGAAAGTGCGCGAAGCCTTACTAATTACTTTTATATTATATGGACGACACGTTTGGCTCAGTTTGTAGTGACCTGACTTGCTGTGTCAGCTGTTGCGAGTTTGAGTCCCGCTGGAGGCATTTGTGTGATGAGCACGAATGTTTGTTCATCAGTCATCGGTGTTTATATTTATAATATGTATGACGTAGATATGTATTTAAACTTATATATGTGTAGTGTATTAACTATCTGGTATCCATAACACAAGCTTCGTAGCTTAGTATGGAGGTGGTGCTGTATATTAATGTCCCAGAATATATATTTTTTTATTTATGTTACTGTAAATTTTAAATTGAAATTCTAATCTTGATTGTGGAATAATTACGTTTAAATTTATTTTTTACCAATGGTATTTTTATAGGTAAAAATATTATTTTAATAAATAAGAAATACAAAAATCAACCAATGAATATCAAATTATATTTTCGGGGAGATATTTCTTGAATAAATTTTTGAGGCAAAATGACTTGAACGTAACATGACATTTATTAGAAACAAATTATTCGGGCACTGCTGAAGTAAGCTCCGAGCTGACCGAGTCCCGAGACGTCTACACTTGTACTTCCGACTTAATAGACTTGTTGATGTGAGCGACAGTGTCGTACAGCGCCCGGAATATTAAAATCTCTTACTTACTTTTAATATGATTATCGATATTTATGTAATAATTTTAGTATATTTTTTATAATTTTAATATATTTTTCTTAAGAATATCAAAATAATGACACATTACTTAAGGTATAGCGCTGTAGCTGTAGGGACAGTTGCGAGAGTAAATACCAGGTCATAGAATCTTCCTCCCCAACGTGCGTACACCTTGTCGTGGTGGGCGGGCTCAGTAGTGCCCGGCAATACAGCCGGGCGGCGAAGTTAAGAAACGTACAGGGAGGTGGCCCACTTCGGTGGGCGGTGGGAGGTAGCCTTCTTCGGGGGGCAGTGTACCATGCGGGTTGCTCCTGGTACTTCTCTAATAGCAGAGTGGATCTTGGAGCGACCCCATGGTTATTGTCGTCTGCTTCGGCAGACCTGCCGTCGGGGCAGATCCTGCGACGCCCCAATACGACGGGGGAAGGTTTAGTTGGGTTTTAGTGGGTAGTATTGGCTTTGCCGGTGAGTCCCACACCTCGTGCGTAAATGAATTTCCCAACGTTAAAAAAAAAGGTCATAGAATTTTTAATAGAGAACATGTACTTAAAATACGTATATTTATAGTTTAGTTTAGTTTAGTTTAGTCTGATTCTAGGAGCTTGGAATATAATATCTTGGTGTATAATAACTGCAAAATTTCCCTCGTCTCGTCGTCGTCTCCGTCGGCGTCGAGCGACGTTAACATTTTTAAAGTAAAATTTACTGTTTTCAAGGAAAATGTGAAATTAGACCAAAAGTACTATATTTACGTCTATGTGGTATAGTACGAGTATTTAATAACAATAACAGTCCTTGCTTTTGTAGCTTTGTCTTAATAGGATTTAATTCAAAGACTTTTTGGACGCACAATACACAAATATATGTATATTATGGCATAATATTTCGTTTCTCTTTGTTTGAATGTTTGTTTCCTTCACATGTCAATCTCTCACTCTATTTCAGAGTGAGAGATTGACATGATTTTGTATGGAGATAGTTGGAGGGCTAGAGAGTTATATAGAGTATTTTTTACTGCGAGAGACTATCTGGTTTCCACGCGAAAACACATTATAATACAACCCACAACAACTCATCATACTATGTATAATGTATATAGTATACTAGCGACTCACCCTCACTTCGGTACAACTTTCTTACGGAAATTTTAGGTTTAACTTATTAAAATAATAATATCAGATTAAGTATCTTAAAAAAATCTTTTAATTTATAATATTTTCGATGCGATAGTACAGTTTTAAACTTTACTTTGACGCCAGTTTGTGGAGTTTTTAACGAGTAAACTAAACTTGGCCGTTAATCTTCCCGCAGCATCTCAATATTTGGAGTTTGCGGAGAAACTTTGCATCATATTTTTTAATTGATTGCTTTAACTAACTTCTTCCTCTAAGAAGAGCGCTTGTTTTCTTGTTGTCATTTGTTTTTCGATATTTATAATTTGTTTTATTTACTACCAAAATACTGATTTCTACCCGTAACTTCGTTCGCTTTGTTCTCAATTTTCTTTTTAACGTTTTTGGCAGCGATAATAAATTCAACTCATGTAGGTAATATTTTGGCCGAGTTAATTTTACTTTTACTTTGGATCGATTTTTTTTTGAGTGTTATGACTACGATATCTTCATTAATTAGGTACCAATTGCTTCAGTGGCTAGCATGTACGACTGCGCATCCAGAGGTCCTGGGTTCAAGTCCTAGGTCGGGCCGAGTTTAATCATTGAATCTTTCTGTTAACAAAGTCCCAGTAGGTAACAGCCGAGAGTTGAAAATTTGGCAGTGTTTCAACCTCGTGCCTCGGATAGCACGATAAGTCGTCGGTCTCGCGCCTTAACTGTCACTGGTCGTTTCGAGCAGTCGTCCCACCGGAGTATGAGAGTGACAGGAATAGAGAGTGCACGTTGTGTCTGCGCGTACACGCGCTGCACTATAATATCTCCTGCTGAGATGGCTAGTTTCAATGAGATTGGCCATCGTCTCTAAAATGAGTCGGGAGGACATTATCATTAATATTATAATGTTATACCCATTACACCTCAAAGTATCATATATGTAAATATTAAGAAATACGTGGTTAAAATTAAGGACGAAGTTAGAGCAACCCAAAAACAAACTATATTTGTTTAATTATAAAGTGAAAGCGTATAATTGCTTCGTCGCTGAACACATAATGTATGTATGAACAGAGTAATGTTAATAGCTTTTGTCATGTATTTAAAGGTAGAGTTCACCGCGAGTACGAGCTCGGTTAAATTACCTTTGTTGTTCAAACAACATGACGCGGGGAACCATCTTCTCTCCCAGTGAACAAGTGTGACGTAATAATACAAATTTTTACCTTTTCTTTTTATTTTACATAATATTATTTACATTATTATGATAAACAAATTTAATATAATGATATAAATGAATCTATACTAATGTTATAAAGAGGAAAGATTTGACTTTTTGTCTGTTTGTACTGAATAGGCTCCGAAACCACTGAACCGATTTAGATGAAATTTGGTAAGAAGATAGTTTGAGACTCTTGAAAGGACATAGGATACTTTTTGTCCCGGAAATTATCCCTTAAGGAAGTGAAAATAGGGCTGAAAATACATTCATATATGTACCACCCACGTGAACAGTGCTGGGCGTGAAAATATGCTGGGCGTGATACTATAATATTTAAGAGAGGTGATTGTAATTACGATATATTTATTTTATTTCATTTATTCATTTAAATCATTTAGTACATGTATAACAAAAACAAATTAATGATAATAACTACAATGTAATGGGCCATAATTGGACTAAATTGTAATTTTTAATGATGCAATTCATGTACACTAACCAAAAGCATACAAGCAAAATGAGTCAAGAAATTGATTTGATTTGATCTTTCTAATAGACAATCAAAAATTATTATTCTTTCAACCTTAGCGGTGGATTTTTATATGTGTCTACCCTAGAGATATATATAAGCCAAGCGCGGATCCAGGGGGGGGTGTCATGGGGGTCATGACCCCCCCCCTCCCCCAAAGCCAAATATACTTTTTAGAGAAGTTTGAAGTCTAAGAAAGGAAGGAATAAACGGATAACATTTCGATTCAAAAAAAATGGTTATTATATGTATTTTGAAGGTTATATTCCCCTAGTTTTATGAAAATCAAAAAGTTTTTGCAGAAATCTATATACATATAATAAAATTGTAACTAAGTCGAATCTGTACATTAAACATTTTTTGGAAAATCTAATTGAAATAAACATTATTATCGATACAGAGTCCGAATCTATAGTTTTTAGAGCTTTTGTCTGTCTGTCAAAGACATCCAACAACCCCCCAAAATGGGAAAACTAGATCCGCGCCTGGTCAGATTTTGCTAAGTTACTGTTTTATTATATGTATATTTCAGCCTATGACCCCCCCAATGTAACTCTGGATCCGCTCTTTAGAGAAGAATTATGAAAAAAGATCCTCAGTTAAGGAATATATTACATAACGTACACAAAATATTTTTTTAATTCTCCAGTAGCGATATCGATTGTAGAATGCCTGCTTACAAATATGTAGTACAGTTGTAATTTTACGCTATATATAAAACTTAATGACTGCACTTACTTTTAGCATCTTTTGATTCAGATTTCTAATAAGTTGATATAATGTTCCGCAGGCGGCCTCAAGATCTGATGCCAAAAAATATGATAATTTGTCGTGAAGAATTACCAAGCAGCAATAAAACCGAGATCTGCTTTGAGATGATTAGATAGAATATTTTCTCTCGGTTATACGGTTTAACAATACATGTAAGTATACATAAATATTTTCATATTATAAAACTTGTTATATTACTCTCTTAGATACACGAATAATTTGACATCTTACATATATATGTATTTGTTGATCTTACATTGTATATTATAAACTAGCGACTCACCCTCACTTTGCTCAGGTTCGTCCCTAGCTTGCTTCCCGATACAAACTTGCATCCCCATTTTCACCCCCTTAAGGAATGATTTCCGGGATAAAAAGTATCCTATGTCTGCGTAATATTCAATTTCTAAGATAATTGCTAAAAGTAAAGTTTCCTTAAAATTTTGCTATCATATTCAAATTATATTATTTTATAAGCTCAATACAATATATGTACGTACTTTGGAATCACAGACAAAGAGAACAAGCTATGAGTGTAGATTAAATATAATATATTAGAAAACATTTGTATCACAACAGCGGAAAATGGAAACCAATGACGCTTGAAACTATTTATTTACTTAATGGACAGCTTAATAGAATATCTAAGAATATTTCAAAGGCATCTCTACGGTCAAGGTCTCTACATTCATGGCAATTTATTGCACCGATGTTGCCGCTCTGAAGACATTTATGTAGAGTCTGTTTGTTGGGTCTAAGATAAGCGGTAACGTGTAATAATGGCTGCCATTATGCCCTAAATACAGTTGTTATTTGTATAATGCGTCTAATTCCTATAGTTATAATATACAAATCTATAGTTAAACTTCCTGAATAACTGCTATTTCAATCGACTCCAAAACAGCGGTTAAAGTAGGTTACTCAATTGTTACACGTTTTTTTGTGTATATATTAAGTGATATCTTCATTGGTTGTAAATATTGTTATTGTGTAAGACACAGAGACAGAGAAGTCCGCGCTGAGAAAACCGAGTGAAACGGGTTCAAATCCCAGGTCTCGCACCTCTGATATTTTCATTCGTAAATCATTTCCAATGTGATTACCACTCGTCTTACGGTGACGAAAAACATCGTGTGGAAACCTGAGTGTAGAAAGTTATCGAAAGACATATGAAGTCCGTTCGCACTTGACCAGCATGGTAAACTATGGCCTATTCCCTCTAGTATTGAAAGGAAACCCACCCCCAGTAGTGGGACATTAAAAAGGGCCGAAGACTATTATGATTTTGAAGGGCTATTACATAAATGCGAAAATTTGTATGTGTTTGTACTTTTGTTATTTCCTCTCATTGAAGCCGCTGAACGATTTAGATAAAATTTTGTATACATATAGACTACGACCTAAGTAATTCAAATTTACATCTATAAATTAAGATTTATAGATGTAGGCATAGTCAGTAAGAGAGGGATAGCTGTCTGGATGTTGGCATAATAATACGAGCGGAGCGCGGAGCAAAGCGCGTGTTTGTTGACCTTAATTTACCGCATGTACCGAAGTACACGCTTGGAAAAAGCTTGGGCCCAAGTATGCTGTAATCAATCTCTCCCACTGCAATAACTGTGTTCTCTCATCCAGTAACGGCTGTACGTCGTTGTGGTTCTTTAAAGAAATATAGTTAAGTTTATAATTTACACTAAAACTTATTTTTTATCACAGTACCCACGTATATACCGGATGCCTCCCATGGGTGAGAGTTCTCTCGTGAGAAACAACCGAAGGTAAGTCAATAGCAATTTATTTATTTATTTATTTATTTATTTTACATCCAATTAGAACGGCGGCGCCACTTACACTAACTAGATTACACATTATAAATTATTACAAACATAAAATACACAAACAAAACATAAGTAAATATTACTTGGGTTCTGAGAGCATGCTGAGAATATCGAATAGCCCAGTTTAATAACAGGGTTATTCAATTTTCTCAGCATACCTCAGCAACTCAGAGACCAAAGTTGACCACTTGTCATTGAATGGGTCCCAATGAGCGTTGTTGTCCAAGAGCGCGTTAAACGATGCCAATGAACGCGGTATAGGTGCCATTGTTCGAGCAATAGTGCGACAATATGGGACAACGAATAACTTATTTTTTCGGGGGCGGAGATTGTTGATAATTGGGGCATGAATGCGACACAGTTGGGCATGAAGATCCGGAGCATCAACGTCTCCTCGCAAAATTCGGCACATAGTTTTTAGTTGGTCACAAGTCCGTCTGACTTCCAAGGAGTTGAAACCTAAGCAACCTAAAAGAAATTTGGTTGGGTATAGAAATGGGTAATATCCATAGCATCGTTTGAATAGGTATCTCAGGAAGGCCTTCTGTACTTTTTCCAATATAAGCCCATACTTTTTCTCGTATGGGTGCCAGACGCAGGCGCTTGTTTCCAGTTTGCTTCGGACTAGAGCGTAATATAGTAACCGTATTACCACAGGACTACTGAACTCCCGAGAGTTGCGCAATACGAACCCTAATCTTCGAAATGAATCGGCTACTACTGAGCTAATATGACCTCGGAAGGTTAATTTGGTGTCAAAATTTACACCCAGATCTCTCATATTTTGCACTCTGGGGACAGAAATGCCATTCATTTGGTACTCATGTATCAAGGGATACCGAACTCTACCAAAGGTCATCACTGAACATTTGTCATAATTGAGCTCCATTCTGTTGGCTTCACTCCAGTTACATACAGCTGTTAGATCGTGTTGTAACTTGAGGCAATCTTCGATAGAAGTAATTTCGAGTATGAGTTTGAGATCATCAGCATATAATAGGCATTTCGCATGTTTTATACATTTCGGAAGATCATTTATCATAATTAAGAATAGTAATGGTCCTAAGATGGAGCCCTGACTTACACCGGATCTCGTATGATATGGTTTTGACTCATACATACCATAACGAACGAATTGCTGACGATCACGGAGATAGTTAGAAATTAAGTAAAGAAGCTGGGGAGACAAACCTATAGCATTGAGCTTGCTGAGAAGAATATCATTATTTACCCTGTCAAAAGCTTTGCGGTAATCGAAATAAAGTGCATCCACTTGATGACCTCTATCGAGACAGGTGGATATGTAATCAGCAGCTGTTAGTAAGTTTGAGTTGACAGACTTTTTAGTCCGGAAACCATGCTGTTCGTCACATAGTAAATTATTGATTTGCCTACTAATTTCTCTATGCACGATTCTTTCGAATACCTTGGCCGGCGTTGAGAGAATAGCTATGGGCCGAAATTCCTCGACAGATGTTGTACCGGTTTTCTTAGGTATCGGGGTGACTCGTGTCAGTTTCCATTGAGAAGGATATTGTCCCGTCTTTAAAATTAAATTAAATATATGACAAAGAGGGAGGCTGAGATATTTCTTACACATTTTCATAACACCTGCTGGTAAGTTGTCTGGACCAGTTGAACAGTTTATCTTGAGTTTATCAATACTATATGCTATGTCAGCTACTGAAAACTTTGGAATGGAGATGACAGTACCATGTAACTTATCATCATTTAGACATACCTCATCCACACTTAGCTTTGGCACCTCAGATAAGAACACGTCTGCAAAGAAATTTGCAAAGGCTTCGGCTGCATCTACTCCGGAGTGCATGCAACCATTTAAAGTGACGTTAGGCTCAAATCCCCCTTTAACCCGCAAGCTACTGATGTAGTCCCAAAAACCTAAAGGATTGGCTTTAATATTACTTTCAGCGCGCCTAATGTAATTTTCATATGCTTCTGGGATGCAAGCCTTCAAGTTAGATCTTATTTCTGAGAACCTAGCATAAGTCTGAACACATTTAGTTTTGATCCATTTGGAATGTAACTTTAATTTCAATTCTACATCGCGGATAATATCGTTTGTAAACCAAACCGGATATCGCTTGATATTACCTTTTTTTCTATTCTTTTTAGGCATGCACAAGTCAAAAAGATCATACATAATTCTGTAGAAACAAGTTATCGCTGACTGTACATCGGTTGCAGTCAAAAGAACATCCCAAGATACCATAGACATTAGAATAAGGAGTTGTTCATAATCAAGTTTGCGGAAATTCCAATCTTTGGAATTGCTTATGTTGCTAGGCTCCAATCTGTCAGAGTGTTTAGCTGTACGAATATTCATCTTAATGTTAAGAGGGGGATGGTATAAATCAGGTGGAACCATTCCCTCCGTATCAGAGACTATCGTTTCAACATGCTCTTGGACCAGTACTACATCTAGAATGCTCCCATGAGTATTCACAATGTTATTATGCTCGGTTAAGCCGCAAAGTGTCACAAAATATGAATAATAACAGACTATGTTATAGGATGCACTGTTTAAATTTAAATCCCCCAATATAACCACTAATCCCTTTAAGTCAAAAATAAAACTTTCTATTTTACAAAATAAGTTCATGTAGTCTTCGTCGGATGCACTGGGTTTTATATAGATTACACATATAAACATAGATCGACCCTGTATATTACATGAAACCCATAGATCTTCACCGGAATCGGTTTCCAATTCACGTCGTCGCTGCAAAAGTATACCGGGGCGAGCTACGATCAGCACGCCACCGCACGGCGAACCCCTGTCGCGGCGCAGCACACTCCAGCTGCCGCCTGATATTTCCGCATCTTCAACGGTATCGTCGAGAAATGACTCCGTAACAGCCACTATGTCGCAGGCTTGCAACAGAAGATTCATGGTCCAAGTTTTTGTTTTTGTTTTAAGGCCGCGAACATTTTGGTACAATATATTCAAGGTGATATGGTTTTTTGTACTATCGATGTTGGCTTGGGTTACGAAAGGACTGACGACTGCCATCTGAGTTGCCGGATGATTTTCTAAAATTAATCCAAGTCTTGATCCTTGCATTGATCGGCCAGGCGTCCTCTGAAAGACATTTTTCGTAACAGGCTATTGGGACTCCAATTTTAAATGACTTATAATTACCTTTAGGCACCAATTCTTCCACAGTGCAGGTATCCGTAGAACAAAGTTGTTGTAGATGTTTCGATATATCCTCCGCGCCCGACTCCATGTTCCAGAGGTGTAGGTATTTTCGAGGTTCAACCGCTTTTAAAGATGTCACTGATGGGCTCGCATTGCCGCAGATGAGGTTTAGTTTCCGAGGCTTCTTCCTACGGACCTCAACCCATTTTTCAGAAGATACCTCCTGCTGAGATGTAATTTGAGGAGCCGATGGATTTGGTTTATTATTTACCATCGAAGGTGTTGCAACGGATAATCGAGAGGGACATTGTCTGGCAGGTTGCGGATAGCTTCGCGATACACGCGGGTTCAGTGCAACATTAACAGTCGGCGAAGTTATCTTGGCGGGTTGCGGGGCCTCGTTATGTGTAGTAACAGTCTCTCCTTTTTTAGATGTTGCCAGTTCGTCTTTGCTATTTACCATGTCACGCATTTTAGACTGGATACAACTGTCAATAAGAGTTTCAAAGTGCGAAAAGTAATTATCACACTTTCCGTGAAATGTAGTCAGCAACGACATTGCTTGATTAAGTTGGTTTTTTAAACCAATGATCTCTTCGCGAAGCTGTTTTATTTCCAGACGAAGGACTTCAGTATTTTTTATTTCTTGCTTGTCCTCGTTAGAAGCCAGAATAATCGCCTTTTTCCTATACGTAATATTATTACTATCGGCGGCAGAGCTGCGCTGTCTACTAGCGCCTACGGGTGTAAGGCTGTTGTCACCACCTCTCTTTGACATACATGCACATTCAGGACAGATCCATGCCTCGGTATTCACAGAAGCTGGATCTAAGATACCTGTACAAAGCTCGTGGTATGTTTTCTGACACGTGCGGACCATGCATTGTAGAAATGCTTCTTCAGATACAATAAGCTTGCAACAGGCTGCGCAATCCATTTTAAGCATAAGCAACAAGCAAAAAAATAATAAATATAATATTCAACGTCTAATGAGGCCTAGCTTTATGCAGCGCTTGAAGCGCTTGAAGAGACGGCCGCTGTCGGGAGGTCAATGACCGCTGCGTACACTCAGCTGTTTGCTGTCAGAATGCGATTTGAATTTACTACTGTGTTAATGTTTTTGTTAATTAACTAGCACTTACGCGATGGATTCGAAAGAAGTTTTCACCATTGAAAAGAGCAGGAATTCAGCTACAAAAGTATATATAATAAACTTGCATAGCTTAACTTTAGTAATGTTAATTGAATAAAAATTACGGAACACGTACTGCACTGTATCTCGCGCGGGGCGGGTTTATGAGCAATCAATTTTTTTTCAAATTCGACCATAATCTTTATGGTATATTTGAATAGAATTCACCTAGAAATAATATTATATAAAAAACTGTTTCCAATTTTTATCGTCAATAGCTACCTACTAAACATGAAAAATGAAAATTGGTTGACAAATAGAGGAGGAAAACGTACTGGACTATTTCGTCTTTGCCTATTTATAACAGGAGATCTGAAGTAAGATATTAATTATTAATATCTAAAGTAAAATCTTTGCCTTCTATTTACCGGACGTATTCTATGTCGTATTTTTCATAATACATAATATGCTGCTTAATGAAATACGATATTATACAATTTTGAAAAATATAGGACATCAAAAAATAAAGCAAAACTGAATGGAGACTTTGATGTTATTCATCCTTTTCACACCATAATATTTATGGCGATACCGGAAAAATATTTTACCTCAAAATATACTTAAAAGTTGAAAATTATTTATGAAAGTATAAAATAAGCTTTGGCAAATCTATCTGTATAAAGGAACATAATTCGTGTACAGAGATTGAGGAAAAATTTCCTTCCTAAATCTTCAAAATATATTTTATTATTTTATGTATTTATTGTATAAATAAAAACTTTCAAAAGAACCGACTTCCAGGGACTAAAAAGTAATAAATAACTAAACAGGGTTTTTATTTAGAATAGATACCTAATCAGATATTTTCGAAGTCAGTCACAGCCGATATAAAACAAAGCACATCGACTTCGAAAATATCTGATTAGGTATCTATTCTAAATTAAAACCCCCGTTTAGTTATTTATTACTTTTTAGTGTCTGGAAGTTGTTTTTTTTTTTTTGAAAGTTTTTATTTTCCCATTTTCAGTGTAGACGTAATAAGCACGTAATTTTTAAGAAGAAAGTTTTTAATAACATATTCGATTAAGCCGTTTATTTAAAAATAATTTATTGTTGATTTAAAAAAAAACCTCGACCGATTTCGATTAGATTTAAATGGGGCCACCTGGAAAGTATACTCTTTGAAACAAAAAAGATTTTTCCAAATCAGTTCAGGCGTCTTCGAGTAATCGATGAACATACACAAACACATACATACGAACATAGAATCTCCTTCTTTTAGGAAGTCGGTAACGGTAAAAACACAAGTAAAGCCACGGGCAGTAAGTAGTACTCAATCTCTTATAGTACATACGATGTTCGAAAAACCGGAAGACATTACAGTGACGTGATACGAATTAATCAGACCTCGAGCGAGTTTAAACATCCTCCCTTACTTACATTTCGGTGACATGTATTACCTCGACTGACATGTTGTTACATTACATATTGCTAATACGATGTTTCGTTTTTAATTTGAACAACACGAATTTTTGTCTTTTGTCTGTCTGTATGATAGCGTGTAACCCAAAAATCGCATTACAGACTTGAATTTGACTTGAATTTATGATAATAATAAGGAATTAAGTCGTAGGCAGTAGCTAGTTCACTCGGGTGCTTCCTTGGTAGCCTAACAATATGCCTATGTGCTGCTGCTGGTCATGTAAGTATATACATACAAGTACACGACTTGAAGTATAATATGTATTATGTACTCGTATATAGTTTATTAGTATAATTTAACCGTTTAGCCGTTTCAACGTGGAGTAACAAACGCACATACAAAAACAAACTTTCGTATTTATAGTAGATTTTAAGTCTACATAAGATGAATCACAAATACACAAAATTATTTCCACTTAATGCCGAAGCTCGGCGCATGTGAGTTGTGACCGACGTGAGGTTGCACTCGCTCGTAATCTCTCGGTAACGAGTTCTGCTTGCAAATACATTTTACGAATTTTCATAAAATTATATTTGACATATTCTCGAAAATATTAATTGATAGAAATTTTACATATACGAGTATTTACTGTAGTTTAATAGAAGACAAAAAGTATTATGTATTAGCATTTTTAGGGTTACGTACCTCAAAGGAAAATAAAAAGGAACCCTTAAAGAATCACTTCGTGGATTGTTTGTCTGTATATCTGTTTGTCAAGACCATTATTCTCAGGAATGCGTCGAGGTATCAAGTTAGCTTTTTTTTTAACGTTGGGAAATGCATTTACGCACGAGGTGTGGGACTCACCGGCGTAATAGATACCAGTACTACCCACTAAAACCCAACAAAAACTTCCCCCGTCTTAATGGGGCGTCGCAGGATCGCTTACGCATTCAACTACGACGCCCCGACGGCAGGTCTGCCGAAGCAGACCACCACAACCATAGGGTCGCTCCAAGGTCCACTCTGCTATCAGAGAAGTACCTGGAGCAACCCGCATGGTACACTGCCCACCAAAGAGGGCCACCTCCCACCACCCACCGAAGTGGACCACCTCCCTGTGCGTTTCTTGGCTTCGCGCCCGGCAGTATTGCCGGGCGCATTTGAACTCTGTCGTAAAGGAATCAAACGTCTATGTACTTCCTGTTTACCTAGAATCATGAAATTTCGAAAGAAGCAATGTCTTATAGCACAGGTAAAAGAAAACATTCAAAAGCCGCAAATTTGTAGTTATATAACAAAAAAATAATTGAACAGAACCCTAGATGCGCGAGTCCGGCTCGCACTTGGCCAGTTTAAAATTATGAGAACCCCTTTACGAGATGAGTTAAAAAGTGTTCGATTTTCATTTGTAGCCTTTCAAAAGATATTGGTGGCTCGGATAACTCTCTTCTCACTAGCCATCATTAGCATTTGTATGGCGAATAATTTAACATTATTATGAATTTATTTTCGAGGTACAAACGTGATGCGACGAGTTTTGTACAAACTAGATGGTAATGACACACTCTGGCGAGTCCAACAGAGGACTGAAAGAAGCTTACGGTACGTATAATCGTATTACGTATAATCCGACGACACGTTTGGCTAAGTTTTGAGCGACCCTACTTGCTGTGCCAGCGGTTGCGGGTTCGAGTCGCACTGGGAACTTTCATTTGTGTGATGAGCATTAATATTTCCACTCCAGTCATGGGTGTTTATATTTATAATATATATAAATTTAAAATTTATATGTACATACTCATTTTTTTCATATTTATATCGAAATTGTCTTTATATCGAAATAGTACGCTTGTACGATGCTTAAGAATAAGTAGTCTATTTAATTTCCGGTTCCGGTCTCGGAACTCTAAGTCGGAATATAATAAAATGTACTTGATAAAAATGCATATAGATATGTCATGGCGACAACTATATAAATAGCCTAGGTGGCTTACAAATGATAAAATTGATGTTTATGAAGCTAGCCCAATTAGGCTGTCGGATAGACTTGCGGGCTATCGATTTTATTGTTGTAAATACACTTATGGGAATAATTGAATTTCTGTTATAGTTATTTACCTCTGTTTCCTAAAACGAATACGTAAATATACGTTTTGTACAGAACTTATAATCATACAATGACTGAACTAAACAAGTTCGTGGAATAAAATAACATTATATAAATACGAACGCTTAAATTGCAAAAAAATTGTTTCCAAATCATATACAAAATCAAAAATATAACTTTCCAAATTGAATTAAAATCAAAATAGATGATACATACATGCCAACATATCAGTTTTGTTGTATGTTGTAGGCTGTGAGTAAATGAGCGAGAAATTCAATAAGGGAGTACGGCAACGAGGGGTTGTCTCCGGAGCAACGCACCGTCTCGACGACGTTTGATATTTGATTTATCGTTTAATTACGTTACTTTTAATCGAATCAATTGTTTAATCAACTTGATCGTATCACTCCGAATGTCTCTCATTTGACTCTTATTACTAAGTTAATTAATTAGGCAGTAGTAGCCCAGTGGTAACGCGCTAGCTTAGGAAACTGAGTGCAGTGGGCTCAAACCCCGGGTCACGCACCTCTGACAATTTCATGTGCGAATTATTTTCAACATCATTACCACTTGATTTACGGTGAAGGAAAATATCGTGAGGAAACCTGTATGTCTGAGAGAAGCTAGCAAGTTTTTGAAAGACTTGTGTAGTCCGCCACTTGGCCAGCGTAGTGGAGACTATGGCCTGATACCAATACCTTTAATACCAGAGGACTGGTATTAAAGGGAGGCCAGTGCTCCTCTCTGCTGCGATGCTCCTCTTTAAAGCGTATTAATAATGTAAATGATTTAAACCTAACTAAATACTATGAATAAGTAATTTAGTTTAATTGAAATTGTGAATGCCTCAGTAATTATAGGTGTAGCTGTTTCTACGGAAAACGAGAGCGAGGCCTTGAACCACTTTAAATAAAAGCATACTTGCACTTGTGGCACGAAATAAAAAACCGCGAGTCAACTCGATGCTTAATACGAATTCTGGAATAAAATTATTTTAACTATACATATTTATATTCTTTTACTTATGAGAAGTCAACTTATACTTAGTCCAATATAATTAAATAGTATTAAAAAGGCAAATGGAATATTTGCTATTTCGTAGATACATAGTTCAACTTTAGTGTTAAAACACTGCCTAAGTTTTGGACTTATCAATAGATGATGATACCCATTTGCAAAGAATTTTCTCAAAGAAAAAAAAATAATGTGCAATTCACACATCGTAGAAGTGAAACTTCAGAAAATGATATGAATATAGAGTATCAGGAGTAG